TCTCTCTCTCTCTCTCTCTGCAACATTGGGCTAATACTTTACCTGTCTGGATACGCCATTAACCCATTTGCCCATTTACTGCGTCACTAAAAGCGAAGTCTCTGCCTGCCGCATCTAGCTAGCTGTTCAACCCCTTCATTGCTAAGACGTCTATTTGCGTTTCTATGCTCAAGATAAAATGTTAATCTAAGAGAGATTCAATTAAAACCATAGTATCTTTCACCGTGTTCAAGAATAAGCAACTGCACTAGCAGTAGGTTCATTTCGTCACCCTTTCTCTATGGACCAATTTTATAAAATAACCCGGTGAACCTGGAGGACACAAGTGAATACAAATTATTTCTACACTGTAGTAAAAAGGAAACCTAAACATGAAAATCTCCATTTCAAAAACAGAAGTTATGAAGGTCAGCAGAAACCCAAGGAAACTCAACATCCTTATTGACGGAATACAACTACAACAAGTAGAGGAATCTTAATATTTGGGAAGCGTCTTCCCACAAGATGGGCGTACGGACAAAGAAATAGAAACAAGAACTATGATGGCAAATGCAGTGACTTATCAGCTAACATCCCGGCTCAGTCACAAGAACATCCCAATCTAACTAAAAGCCCAGCTCACCAATAGCATCTTCATTCTAACCTTAACACAGCAGTGCCAAACATGGTCTCTAAACATGGCAGAAGAAAAAAAAACCAATGCATGTGAAATTATGAGATGTCTCCACAAAACCATCAACGTCACTAGAAAACACCGCATAAGGAAGGAGACCATACGCCAACAAACCGGAATACCACCAGTAATTAATCATAGAGCGTCAAAGAGTCAAATGGTTCGGACAAATAACCAGAATGCCCCAAAACAACTAGCGGCTGGAGCTTACCAGACCCGTGAATCCGGCTTCAAATCAAGATGAAGACCAAGAAAGACCTGGCTGATGGGGTTAAAAAGGTCCTGGAACAAGATATTTATCACAGGCTTTACATACCTAGCACAGGACCGAAAACTGAACCTCCCCTCGACATTCTAAAGATACCATAGGAAGGAAAAAGTAGAAGCAAAGTAAATGAAAACATTAATTAAGCAAAGGGATACTGCGGGACATTATTTACCGCCGC